AGCCTCGTTTGAAATGTTCGTACAATTATGAACCGCACTTTATAGTGTTCACATCAAAATTCATTACGGTTGCGGTATTTCCTCCACTATCAGAAGTTGGAAAAATGATTGGCATGCCATAGTAAATGCAGTGCTCACTCTGACATAGATTACGAATGTGTTAGGAAGTACAACCATGAGTTTTTATTTTGCAAGATCTAACTTCCGAGAAGTATTGAATTGAGCATAAAAACCGAAAAAGACAGTTCTTTTTTTGTAAATTTTCGATTTCAGCCATTGTCAAAATACGGCAAGTGTGCATACTAAATATGTAGGGGCATATGCGCAACCAAGTTGGGGGTTCGCAGGATCTTTTTAGACGGAGATTTTTGATTTTTAGGTAATTGAATACTTTGATTTTTTTTACTTTGACTTTTTTTTAGGTAATTGAATACTTTGATTTTTAGGTAATTGAATATTCTTGAATGCTTCCAATTCACGTACAGATCTAACATTTTGCGATCTTTCCTACGGTCTTGTAGAAGTTGCTTGCTCTATTGAGTGATATGTTTCTCACTTTTCTACACTGCTGCGATCGGGAACCTGCGTTAATTCACGTATTACTAAATTATCCTGTGTACATGCAGCACTCCTCACGCTAACTTTTACATCAAAGAACTCATGTAATCACACATTATCTGCACTTTAATTCTTAGTAAGAGAGCTTCATAAGGATGATCTTCGCTGAAATCAGATTTGTAGACTATAGTTAAAAGTCACCAAATAGCGGTCATGTATGTATTTGAACGCAGCTTTAGTTCTCGCCCACAGATGATCACGGTCGTTAGAAATATTCATACTGACTGCGGGTAAGTCGGGATCATCTTCTGACGATATAAACACGTACCTAGATCAATTAAATCTTTTATTTTGAGCTATGATATTTCCACATACAAACACTTACTTGTTGCAGCGTTTTGCCCAAGTTGCTTTCACATGTATAGCCCTCTGCTGATGATTCTGCTTACAAGTCAGAATCCAGCAGAATATTCGGACCTTCTCCGCAACCGCATCTGCGATTACCCGCTCACCTACATAAAATAATTCATTCAAGCGAATAATTGACCTCATTTGCCAGTTTTTCTGAGCCCTGGTTGCTTTTGTTTGACTGACTATCACTTTGCTTCGACATAGCGAAGGTTGCGGGAAATGGGAATAAATACACGCCTGAGTGGTCGTCATGAGAGACATTTCCATGGAATCGTGGTGGCCATACCAGGACTTGCAGCATTGCTTCATACTGGAAAATAACTAAGATAAGAGTATACTCATGGCTCTGTTGCATTATAATTGATGTAAGGATCAATCTTTCTAAGGGAAAAAGGAGTACATTTGTAATCAGATGTGTGTGTGTTCTTGGCAAACAAAGAAAACAAAAGCAAGAACAGCAAAAAGTCTGAATTATTCAAATCGAACTTTTTTTGCGCCGTTTGAGCAGCAAATTACAGCGGTCGTGCTGCTTTCTTGTTGTCCCTATTATGTGATAGAGGATTTCTCGACCATCGCATCGGTGTTCTGTAGAGAGATGGCAAGCTGCGATAGAATAAACTAGTGAAGTGAATGAATGCCATAATAATCATTGACTCGCGTTCAGACTATGCTGTTGTGCACGTAGGCTAGGCATGTTCAAGGCAAGAGCACGCTCACGATCCGAAGGGTCATAGGCGAGATTTGAGAACTTGAAGGCAGTGTCCCGGCAAAATTTCGTCTTCCATTTTTTCACCTCTTCGCAGCCTTCTTGCCATGAAGAACCCATATCTGGGCTTTACAGTGCATGAAAATGGTAAAAATGAGCTTTTTTCGAAGCTTTCCAGGTTCGTATTCATTGAAAAATACGTGTGAATGGCGGAGTCCGAAACGAGGGAGACGGGGCGCAGAAAACTTCCGCGAATTTTCACTTGACCTGTAAAGGTTTAGAAAAGGTTGAAAAAAGAACAGATTTATTTATTTTTTTATTTATTTATTATATATAATATATAA